TGCAGGTGGGAGAACACGAGAGGCGGCCAGCCCTGAAGGAGGTGCTGGCAGTGCTGTGCCAGGCCCGGGGCTGGACCTCAGTTCCATGGCCCTCCTGGGCGGGTCCTGCCGCCTGACCTTGATTCCAGAATCCAATTCCATCCTCCTGCCTGGCAGAGAGGAGTCCCGCCCGCCTGGAGAGACTCTGATGGGTCTGACTTACAGGATGAAGACCACGAGTCTGTCTCTATCGGGCAGCCACGTGGGGAATGTGCAGGGGGATTTGGACCATGGGAAATTGGGGCCAAAGCCTGGGTCAGATGGGACTTCACCTGTGAGCTCCTGACAGGTGGGAGGGCCAGAACCATGAGAAAAAGTGGAGGGCACTGGGCGTTTGACCTGAAAGCAGAAGACTCGGGGGCCTCGCATACCCACAGACTTCCTGGGGGGAGGACAGACAATGGCTCAGCCCCCTGAGAGACCAAGCAGGCCAAGAGGCAGAGGTCTCAAGAACAGATGCCCGTCCGACAAGGAAGAGCTCCTGGCCTTGGCCTGTGGCCTCGCCTGCCAGAGAGAGTCCTGTGACGCAGGCCCCCGTCAGGAGTGTGGGGCTGTGTTCCCTGGGCCGGGCCAGGCCGCACTGCCCCTGAACTGCCGCACCTGTACTGTGCTTGTGGCTTCACTTCCCCAGGCTTGTCCCTTAAAAGGAAGAGATTAGGAAATGTCCAAAAAATCCTGGAAGTCACCAGCAGGTCTCTATCTGCTTTCCCAACAATCAGCAGCGGGAAACCCAGGCAGGCGCTGGGCAAGCCTGGCTGATTCAGTGGGTGGGGCAGGGCTTCCATGGAGTTGCGGTGCCCAGCCTCTAGGAACAGAGCTGCCGAGGCCGGGCCTGCCCTCAGGGTTCCGCATTCAGGAGTCGGAGACGGACAGAGAACTTGCAGGCCCCAGTCCCCAGGTGAGGTTGATGCTGCTCCTTCCACCACACGTGGGGCCCCCGGAGTAGGGGGGCTGTTTCCCAGGCCGTGGGAGAGGATGGTCTGCAGAGGGGAAGGTGCTCCTGGAGCGTCCAGCCTGGGGAACAGCAGCTGAGATGGGAAGGGCGACTGTGACAGGTCTCCAGCCAGCCAGGGCCTGAGGCCATGCGCCCCTCACTTCTGACTGGCCCCTCATCCCAGAGATGGCTGTTGCCTCTTTTCTCGGCCATGCGCCCTCTCTGTTCCCTGTTTCCTCTGCCTGTGTCTCCCCACTGGTTCTGCCTCTTTCTCCTGCCTGTTTAATCCAGACGTCTCCTTGGACTTGGTGTTGTGGTGCCTGTTTTCCAGAGGAGGCACCCAGGGCTCCAAGGGGTGGAGTGGCTTCCCAGGACACCCAGCGAAGAGGCAGAGCTGAGATTAGAGGCCAGGTCTCTCTGACTTCAGACTAGATTAGAGGCCAGGTCTCTCTGACTTCAGACTCTGGGCTTTTTTGATGTGACTCAGACATTTTCCAGTTCCTGGGAATGCCAGGGGAGGGGTGGATGTGGGGCTCAGACAGATGGACTCACACTTGGAGGGAGGATGGTCTTCCACAGGGGCCCAGAGAACCTTCTGGGCTTTCTTTACACTTCCTGAATTGGAACTGGAAAAAAAAAGCAAAAAACAAAACCAAAACAACAAAACCGCACACATGCACACAACCACTCAGGGGCTGCCTGCCACGTGATTCCTGATTCCACAAACACAAAGGCATAACCCCACCCGACAAAGTCGCACAGTCCACAATCGCCCTCCAGGGATGGAAAAGTCTCCGTTTGCATTTCTGCCCAGACCTTCATAAATACATTAACAATGCACCACTTTTTCAAAGGAAATAAAGGGCATGTTTTGCTAAAAGCAGAAGTGCGTTTGGTGAGCCCCTCCTGGGGCCTGGCCCAGGCTTGTTCTGGGAAAGAATAAGGAGTCAGACGTGGCCCCTGGGGAGGGGACTCAGGGACCACAGAGGAGTGACGCACGGGAGCCAGGATGGCAGTGTGCACAGTGGTGGGGGCTCTGAGAGCACTTAGTGCCTTCAGAGGGTTCCGGGAAGGCAGCCTGGAGGAGGTGGCCCTGCTCTGGGTCGTGGCTGAGGAGGATATGAGGGAAGGAAGGGTGGGAAGGGCCTTTGGGCAGCAGGACCCATAAAAGCTAAGGAGCAGGGTCATGCAACTGGGCAGGGGCAGTGACGAGTGCTCTGCAGGTCACTCAGTAGGGCTCCCTGGCCATCCTGAGGTACCCACCAGGCAAAGCAGTGGCCTGAGCTGGTGGCAAAGCTTGATGGGTTGGGGCAGAGAAATGTCCCTTGCCTCTGCTCTGAGTTGCTTATAAGTAGGATCTCCTTCCTCGGGGACAGGTGTTCTCAGGGGTCTGGTGACTGTGGCAGGAGTGGGCGCTATGCTGAGGACCCGGGCAGGGGGCAGCCACTTTCAGGGCACACCTCACCTGCTCTGGCCCTCGGCCTAGGGGCCCTCCGAGTGAGGGCAGGCGGTGTCCTTGGGTTTTCCTTGAGGCAGATGAGACACTGGAGAACGTTCCCACGCTGCCAGAGGCAGAGCCAACTGATGACACCTCACAGGAGGGACTGAGGCCAGGGACACGAGGACCCAGAGCCTGGGGACTAGAGAGCCAGGCACCCCTCATCTTGGGGGCCAGGGTGCTGTGGAGTGGCTGAGTGACAGAGCTCTGGGTGGGGAAGGACTGAAGGCTTCTGAGGTGAGACCTGGAGAGGACCCTGGATGGGCACCCCCCTCAGCCCACTGAGGGCCTCAGAGGGAGCCAGCCAGGCCAGCCAGACCACTTTCTTGTGTGTGTGTTTTTTTTTTAATTTTACTTTTTATTTTTCTAGTTGTAGTGGACACAAAACCTTTGTTTTATTTATCTATTTTTATGTGGTGCTGAGGATCAAACCCAGGGCCTCACACGTGCTAGGCGAGTGCTCTACCGCTGAGCCACAGCCCCACACCTGGACCAATTTCTTCTCTGCACAGTTGTCCACAAGAGAATTGGTTCCAGGGCCCCCGTTGGATACCAAAATCTGCAGGTGTCAACCCCTTGTATAAAATGTATGAATGTATAAAATGGTGTGATGTTTTCCCGTCACCTCTGAGAGCCCTCCCGTGTACTTTAGATCACCTCTCGATTACTCATGATCCCTGCTGAGGGCTAAGTGCTGTGTAAGTAGCCGGCGCGCTGTACGGCTCAAGGAGTAACAACCAGGAGGACGTCGGTCCTTGCTCCGTCCAGATGCAATGTGAAAAGCACATGTTTTTGATCTGCAGTTGGTTGAATCCACATGGTCCGGGGAGGCAGGGTGTGGAGGCCTAGCTGTCTCCTGCAGTTGGTGGCCATCTTCTCTATTTCTTGGGACTTAAGAGCATTTTGGAAATGTGAAGCTGCCCTAGGTGAGTGTCGTGGTGGCTCCTGGGCTCCGGGCTCAGTCTCACACACTCGCACAGGTCCCCTGTCCTCAGTGTGCTCGCCCTTCTAGGGGAAGGTGGAGATGGCGAGAGAGCTGACGTTGGGTCATTATGGAGTCCGGTGTGTGACCACTGAGCAGCGTCTGGCATGTAGTCAGTGTTTGATAAATGCCAGCTGTGGTCCTCATTATCATGAGAAGGTCCTTTCTATACCTCAGTCAGGCCAGGGAAGGTGTCAGGGGACCCTCAGCCAGGCTTGGTGGTGGCAGTAGGTGGCCTGTGCCGAGGAGAGTTTGAGCAGCCACAGCCAGTGGAGAGCGAGGGCCAAGAGGCCAAGTTGGTCCAGAGCGTGGGTCAGCAGAGCTGGGCCTCCAGGAGCCATGTGGCAGCTTATGGGTGTGTCTCTTTCCTCTGTGTGGCCCCAGAGGCACGTGAGCTGCCTCCCCAGCCAGCATGGCCAGCTGGTTCTCCCCGGCCTCTCCACGCCCAGCCTGCTCCACGCCCAGCCTGTTCTATGCCAAAGGCAAGGGCTAAGGAGCACTTTGACCTTCAGACCTGCCTCACATCCTGGCCACTCTTGTGCCAGCCTTTTGCAAGAGAGCACAAGGAGGGGCCACTTCCTGGGCAGCAGAGTGGGGCTCTTGGGGTAAGCACCAGGGAAGGCTTCTTGGACTTCCCTCCTCAACCTGGCCAGGGGAGGGGAGCCCAGCACCAGGCCTCTTCTAACACTAGCTGCACTGTGGGCACTGAGGGCCCACCCCTCCGTTCCCTCTTTGCTCCAGGTGTGTCACCGAGCATCCCTGGTGAGTGGGCACATGTGACACATCCCCTACATTTGCAGACCTCTATCAGCCCTGGACTGGGAACAGAGGAGGACCCTTCAGTCACACGTCATTCCGTGGCACAATGAGGGAACATGGCTCTCGGAGAAACAAAGGATGGCATTTGTTCTACTTTAGAGCCTGACAGGGAAGATCCTTGGGAAATGAGAGATCTCGAACAAGTGCATGGGAGGGTGGGAGGAGAAAGGACGGACAGATGGGTGGTTGGATGGACTGATAGACGGATTGATGGATGAATGATGGATGGAGGGATGATGTAGAGACAGGAACATGGTGTCTGACCTCATCCTGGGCTCCTGTTCTTTTCCAGTACTTTCAAAGCACCGTCCTTATAACTTTGGTTTCTTTTATTGAGAAGGGTCTTGCTGTGTTACCCAGGCTGCCAACTCCTGGGCTCAGGCGAGCCTCCTACCTCAGACTCTGGGTGTGCACCTGGGCTTCCCACCCCGCAGCATCCGTCTGCCACGCTCTAGTGTGACTGAGCAGCGGTGCCACACACTCGGCCTGTTTACCCATCCATGTCAAGTGAGGCCCCAAGCCCTGTGCACCGGCCTCACTTTGGTCCTCTGTCCCCTCTCTGCTGCCCCACTGTCCTCAGTCTGGGCGTGCAGCAGCCTCAGAGGCTCTGCCTCCTGCTCCTACCACCATGCCTCCACTGGCCTCCTAGAAGATGGTGTGGGGTCTGGGCAATCCCTGGAAACTTGCAGGGAGACATTGTTGGCCTGGCTAGTCCTTGTGGCTCTCAGAAGCTGAGCACCAGCCGGTTCCTAACCTGTTGGCTGACCACACGCACCTGGAGAACCCCAAGGCCCTCCCTGGGTCCCAGCGGGTGAGAGTGGAGAGGTCCATCAGTGGGCTGGGAGGAAGTGGCCCCAGGGTCCCTGATGTATTCTCCACAAAGAGAGGATATGACCAATGGGGAGAATGGGGAAAGCCCAAACAAAGAGCTTGCGTGAGAAGGTGCAGATGTGGAAAGGCCTGCGGCCTCCCTCCCACAGGGAGACTCGGCCTTGGCCCCAGGCAGAAGGGAAATGCAGGCTCTCAGGGCAGACGTGAGAGACAGTTCCTCAGTGACATTTGCCAGCACCTCCTATTGTGTGAGAGTGTCCTCAAGGGCCCTCCTCCTACTCTGCCATGACCTGTGACCCTGCTTGTCCCGTGTCTTGTCAGCTCAGGCAGCTAAAGCAAAATACCATACGTTAAGGGGCTTGAACACCAGACCTTTAGGTCTCTCAGCTCTAGAGGCTGAGAAGTCTGACTTCAAGGTGCCACAGATTCAGTCCTGGGTGGGGGCTCTCTTCCTGGCTGCCTCCTCCCTGTGTCCTCACGTAGTGGAGAGAGAGCTCTGGTCCCTCTTCTTAGGAGGCTACTAATCCCATCACGGGGTCCCACCCTCGTGACCTCATCTCAACCTCATTACCTCCCGAAGGCCCAATTTCAATACCAACACATGGAGTACTGGGGAATCAACATGAATCTGGGGAACCCAAGCACTCCATTTATAATACTCCTCCATAGAATCTCCCCTAAGCCACCCCCAAAAAACTGGCTGGGTGTCCCTGCTCTGTGCTGTGACCCCCATGTACTGTGACTGCCGGTTACATTCACCTCCTCACCTCTTGGGGTCAGGGCCCGGCACCCAGGGGCTCACTCAAGCAGATGGATGGGGGACGAATGAGCAATTGCCTGCACAGAAAGGGGAGCGCCCTGCTCACCTCTGCCCGCTCCCTGGGCTCGGCTCCTGGGGCTCCTCCTCTCGCCTCCCGTGTTTGAGGGGGATACAGCAGGAAGGACATGTCCTGAGACCCATTTTCTGTTCGGCGGCGGACAGGAGTGTTAGTGGCTTAGACAAGTGGTTCTTTGGGACCTTATTTTTAGAGGGGAAAAGAAAGAGGGGGCTCAAACCTTAACCAGCCAGTGAGTCAAAGAAGAAAGCTCTGTGTTGAAGGCCCGTGGCCCTGGCCTCCCGTTAGTAATCATCCTCATTTTGTGAGCACCTACTCTGTGCCACGGCCGTGCTAGGAGCTTTCCTTCCACTAACTTGTTAAACCCTTAGGCAGCCTCTGCAGCAGGGGTCACTACCGCCATCAGCAGCAACAGCCCCATTTCACAGATGAGAACCCCGAGGCACAAAGAGCCTTGGACCTCCTGTCGGGAAAGACCCACATCAGATCCCTCTGATTCCAGAGCCACTGCCTGTGGGGCCCTGGGCTGCATTTTCTCGGCTCTCTCTCTGCTCTCTCCAGATCTCCCACATGCACCTGGGAAATGCCTAGAAGGCAGCGGCAGCAGGATTGGCACATGCCGCCCGCGAGACCAACAGTGGGTCTCAGGAGGAGTGGGGCCTGTTAGCACAATCAGGCCACTGGCTGGGCTGGCAGAAGGTAGTCCACCCTGCACCTGTAGAAGGAGAGCCTCTTTGTGTTTGTTAAGAAGGTGCACACATGCCTGTAATCCCAGCGACTCGGAGCCTGAGGCGGAGGACCGAGTTCAAGGCCAGCCTGGGCAACCTAGTGAGACCCTGTCTCAAAATGAAAAATAGAAAGGGCTGGGGGTGTAGCCTAGAGGTAGAGCATCCCTGGGTTCAATCCCCAGCCCCGGTGGGGGGCTGGGGTGGATGATGCAGGCCTGTAAGAGCGTCGGATTTGGTTACCTGCAAGTAGCCAAGCGGTGGCTTCGGGGAGTGGGCTTGGGGACCAATGAGGCATGATGTAGGACACACTGTTTCACGGTGAGATTTCCAGTGGCGTTGGTATTTTTTTAATATTTTATTTTTTAGGTGTAGATGGACACAATATCTTTATTTTATTTTTATGTGGTGCTGAGGATCGAACCCAGGGCCTTGCACATGCTAGCCGAGGCTCTACCATGAGCCACAAACCCAGCCTGGCATTGGTGTTTTTAACGAAAATCGAAAATCGTATCTTAGAAAAAGGCACCTGAAGTCAAAGGCCCTTCCTCCTCTTGGAGATCTATATATTTCTTTCTTCTCCCTCCCCTCTCCCCTCCCCCTCCACTACTTCTACTTCTGCCTCATTTTTTTTCTTTTTCCAGGAAGCAAAAATGTTGGACATCCTGGTGCCGCCCAGAGTCTGGAGTGGAGGCTTGGGTGTCTTAGGCATGGAGGTGGACGGGCTCCCCTTCCACAGTGTCCACGGAGATGATCAGAAGCTGGTGGACACCACCAAAGCACATGTGTGATCCTTAATGTCACATGCATGCCAAGTTCCTCCCCAGTGGCCCAGCCTGCATCCAGAGTTCCCCGAGACCCCCAGCTTCTTCCCACGGCAGCCTTGCAAGTCAACACTGGTCCTGGGTGAGCCACAAGCTCACCACGGGCCCAGGAAGCTGCAAGTCTGCTTCCCAGGAGGGGATAGTACCAGGAGGGACATTTCTCTGGGCTCCCAGTCTCTGCTTTGGTTCCTGGGACCCTGGCACATTCTCTCAACCCTCCTCCACACCGGCTGCTCCAAGCTCCCATGCCAAGTCCACCCAGAGAAGCTTCTTGCCTGTCATTTAGGAGGACCCCAGTGAATGACTGACTGCTTTGGGGCTTTAGGGAAGGATTACTCACCACCCACCCAAATATTTATAATTTTAAAATGCTCTTTTTCAAATAGCATTTTGTTTACTCAGGCAAGAGATTCCTCCAGCCATCACCTCCCAGGTTGTGTTGTCCTCTTCAGCCCTGACACTGCCACCTCCTCCCCATCTCCTCATCCCCACCCTGAGCGGGGCCCCTTGGCCTCCCTGCACCATAGGGCAGTTCACCCCTGGAGCCCAAGGGTGCTCAGGGCCCAGGGCGCAGGCCTGTCAGAGTCCTCCTGGACAGCTCTGATCAGCCCACCCTACCCCTCTCTCAACTCCAGCTGCACATTTTCCAACAAAGTCAGAAACTGAGTCACCAACCATATCCCATTATACTCTCACATCTTGGACCAGGACAGCTTCTTGTGTGGGACCCTGCTGAGTGACACTGACTCATTCAGATTGCAGGGAGGGGCATCTGGCCACCAGAGAGGCCTCCCAGTGTTTGTTGGGCCTGTTTAATTTCATTTTATTCAACATGCTGGTTTAATGTGCATTCATCGTGAAGAAGGAACTAGCCCTCCTTTTTTTTTACAGACTTGACACTCCTGTAAAACACAGGTAGATAGGGAATGGGTAGGGGGTAACTTCCAGCTCTCTCTATACAGTGTATCTGGGCGGAATTAGTTGGGGTGGGGTCTCTGTCCAGACCTCCTTTGTCATTCTGCAGGGGTTCTACCTACAGGGTCTTGGCTCTTGCTGGTGTGGCATCAGGCGATGCACCCAGAATAGGCACTCAGTCCCCACCTGTGACCTCACAGCTCTCTGTGAACCCACACCAAATTCCCTGGCCACCTTTCCTCCAGTTATAATTTTTGTCCTTGATTTGGGACATAGAGTTCCATGTCATGAGGGGTGGGGTGGGAGGCTCTGATGAAGATGGTACCCTGACATTTTTGAAATCTTGATGGCTATAAGAGGAAAAGATGCCCATGTTCTTCTGAATCACATTTCGGGGGAAGACACGCATGGGCCTTGGGTTTTGCAGTAGTAATGTGTTGAGAGCCACAGCCAAAGGGGCCCCAGCAAACTTCCAGCTGCCCGCAAACTTCCAGCTGCTGGCTGATGATTGGCTCACAGTGGCCCCAGCAACATCTAGCTGATTGGCTCCTCAGCCCCAGCAACATCTAGCTGATTGGCTCCTCTGCGGTGATGCTCATTGGGCTGTTTCCCTGCCCTTTCAGACCACGGAGCTGCTCATTGGGGGACTTTTTTGGCTCCGCCCACGTGACCCAGCCAATCGGCCTCAAGAGCAGGATTGTGGGAGGTGGGGAGAAGCTTGTGTGGGAGAGAGAGGCTTGTGGAAAGCCGGTGGTGGCAGTTGAGGCTCTGAGGGTTTTTCCTGAGAGGCTGTTTTGTTTGGCGTGTGTGGTTCTAAAAATAAAGTTAGTTTCTTTTGACAAGTGGCTCCTGATTGTGCCCAGCCAGACTGCGGCAGTAATGGAATTCTATTCCAATATGGAGCAGGCTGAGGCTTAACTATGGATTAGTTTATCCTCACTGTGGGCAGAAATTTGGGAAAGAGGCTGAGACCTGGCTGAGTGAAGAGAAGACCAAGGAGTCTTAGACTCTGGGTGGGGCATCCCAATGTCCCCTGCAGGGAGAGGCAAGCCCAGGCTCTGCAGCAGGGGCTGAGATGCAAGGAGGGTCAGGAGGAGACCCCTTAGCAGGGTCAGCCCAAGGACCTCTGGAGCTCTGCTTTCCAAGATGCAGTTTTAAGACTTTCCCATTCCACAATGATTCCTGCTCAGATCTTTAGTAAAGTTTCGCTTGCTTTTACTCAAACGTGTCCTAGTCTTGTCTCTACTTGAGGGAAGGCTGGTATCTATGTCTCTAATGGCAAGACAAGCATGGCCGCAGCCTGGAGAAACAGGTGACGGGGACAAGAGGCGACCTACAGGGAATGGTCCTGTAGGGTTAGAGATGGTGCCACCCAGATTTGACTTTGGGACATCTGAGCATCACTGGGCATTTCCAGGAGTGTCGTGAGGAGGGAATCCTGGTGATTGGTACACAGGATTCTCTGGATGTTCAAAGGCAAGCTGGGGACCTGGGGACCTTGAGATAGTGCATCCCATACAGCCCCTGCAGGAAGTGGGACTTGCAGGCAAGTGAACCCTGTAAGGGCTTGGGGGTCTTTGGTCCTCTTGATGTTGTCTGACCAAGTGATGCCCAGTGCTCAGCTGGGAAAGGCATTCCTCTGGGGTCCCTTCTTGCCTCCTTGCATGGGTCCTTCTCACTGCCAGCCTTGGTCCAGCTCATTGCATTTGCTACTCCTGCTCATACAGGTGGTTTCCGCTGGCCCCACAATAACGTTCGCTGCTCTCTAGGCAGGGTGGTGAAGATGTGGCTTACCCGTAATTTGCATGAACTCAACAGACATCGGCCATGTGGAATGCTGTCAAAAGTAAAGAAACGGAACCTGGTCCTTTCCTCCTCTGGGCAGGTCAGACTCACCTGGTCTCTCTTCAGATCTGGGGGTCATATTTGAAGAAGTGGATTTTGTTCAAATGAAGGAACAGAAAAGTAAGAGCTCAAAGCCTGTTAAGTGGCAGTGACTTGAAGAGAGTTGTCTGTCCAAGACTGGCCAGATTCTCACCAATTCTGCCTTCTCTTCCTCCAATGCACAGGAGAACTACCTGTCCCGGGCTCCCTTGAAGTTCAGTTAACCTGGGGCCATGCGACTGGGATCTGGCCAGTGGAACGTGAGTAACTGGATTTGACACTCCTGTAAAACACAGGTAGATAGGGAATGGGTCTGGGGTAACTTCCAGTTCTCTCTATACAGTGTACCTGGGGGAAGTAGTTGGGGTGGGGTCTCTGTCCAGAGTCTTAGCTCTTGCTGGTGTGGCATCTTCTAGACTTGGATATGAACCTCTGTGAGCGATTTCCTTGGTGTCTTTTCTCCTGTGTGGATGGGAATAGAAAACCCCAAGAAGATGGAACCACTTCACGGAAGGATTCTAAATCACTGTGATCACTTGGGGAAAGACTTGCCTCTTGTGGGACTTTGCGTGAACAAGAGATAAACTTTGTTTTGAACCTGGGCCTTGGGCTTGCTCAGCACACCTCTAGCACTAAGCTATACCCCATGATCGTGCCCCATTGTTTTGAGGCATGGCAATGGGGCGGGTGGTTTGTGGATGCAATATACCCCAGCCCTGCCTAATACCAGCTTGGAAGGTTTGACACTGAGAGTAGGATATGAGAATTGTCTTCAAATCCCAGTATCCAAAAGACCACATGGCTTCAGCAGCCACAGTCAAGGCCAGTGGATACTCTGGCTCATTAGGATCTAATATTTCTGCCAAACCCTGGAGTTACTTGTCTTGGATACTAGTGAGTTGTCATTGGTGGTGTCCGTGGAGAGACTGAACCATCATTTTGGAGGGATGTGGAGGGGATGCTTAACAATGAAGGAGCCGGAATGTCCTGACCTGTTACCTCACAGCACTGGCATCTAATGTCTAATCCAGCAATATTCTGATGCCTGTTGAAGCAAATGGCATTGAAATCCCACCATTTCTCCAGAACGCTGGGCACCACGTGACCCCAAGATGAATGCCATCAAAGGCCACTGTGTTGCCAGATGAATGCCAGGAATGGAGCTGCAGAATCACCAGCTGCCAGAAGTAGGTTTTTCAGAAAAGCGAGGAGCCAAGAGGGTCAGATTCTGGCTCTCTTTTGGTTGTACCAGCTGGAGGGAAGCCGCAGTGTATTGTGTGAAGATTTCTCCCACTCTTCTCTGGCCAACTCACAGACGGGTTGTATAAACAGGAAGATGAGCCCGTCTTACTAAGCAATACGAGTGAATAAGAAAGGAATTTTAATGGCTTCTGCCACCTTCAGTCCAAACCAGATGGACTTTTTCTACCACCCCTTCTTTGGAGAGAAAAGAATCTTAATCCCCAATAAGGTTCTTACTTAAGTCTGTTTGGAAGAAGGATCCACTCTTCCGGAATACTCCAGGACTCCAGGAGCCTGATCCAGAGAAGTAAGTGGCCAAAATCAAAATATATGTTTCCAAGGATTGCAGTTAATCCTTAGTGATAAACATGGAGTCCACCACTGCCTAGAGGATACTCCAGCCTGAAGAGGCCGGTCAACTGTGGGCCTCCCCAACAACATCGGTCGTTAAGGAAGTACCTTCACCACCTGTTGTGTGGTCAAGAGCAAATCCTCCAATTGCTCTAGCCTTTCTCTGAGAAGGTCAGTCCTGGAACTTCTTCTGCTTGGGTGCTTCAAGAACCCTCTAGATTCCTCTGGGGTTGGAAGACCCCCTCCCCCATAAGGACTGCTGCCCACTCCTGGTTACTTGGCTTTATTTACAGACTGAATGCTACATAAATCCATCACACCATCCAACGCACATGTAATTGGCATAAAAGGGAGGATGATACAAAAATACAACTCTTGATGGTAAATGGAACAGCCCTCAGTCCATCCCAGTCCATGCCAGTGGACAAAGGGCCCAGGAGAGATCAACTGATGCCATTGCCCCAGAAAGATCCTGGGCTGGGCTCTTCCTGGCTGTGCAGGTATTTCTGTCACCATTAAACCTGGTCCCTTCCTCCTTCAGGAAGGGGAAGAGGACCTCCGGGGTCATTGGAGGTCCTCGAGAAGGAGCTGGAGCAGGGGCTGCCCAGTCAAAGCCAAGTGCAGCTCTGGGACCACAGTCACCACCTTTCCCTGGGGCACATCCATCACGGGCTATCTGCCTCTGGGTACCTCTGGTAGAAGGTGTTATGGTTTGAATACAAGGTGTCCCCCAAAGGCACCTGTAAATGCAGGAATATTCACAGGGAAACTGATTAGATTATGAGGGCTAGACTCTAGTCAGTCCATCCTAGTTTGAATGGACTGACTGACTGCTAACTGGGGCGTAGGGCTCGGCTGGAGGAGGTGGGTCACTGGGGACGTGTCCTGGAAGGGTGCATCGTCCCTGAGACTCCTTCCTCCTTGCTCTCTGTCTCTGCTTCCCGACTCCACCAAGAGGGGAGCAGCTTTCTGCTGCTGGGTCCTTCCCGCATGGTGTGCTCTTTGCCTTAGGCCCAGAGCCATGGAGTTGGCCGTCTATGGACTGAGACCTCATTAACTGGAAACCCCAGATAAGCTTTTCCTCCTCTAAGTTACTCTTGTTGGTTATTCTAGTCACAGACAAAAAAGCTGACTAACACAGAGGGTTAGGAAACACAGGGTAGAGGATCAACCTCTTGGAGACTGGGGAGAAGAGGGAGGAAGATTGAGGATGGCATTTTCGCTGTCCTCCCCCACCCTGTAGTAGATTCCAGAAATAATCTACTGATTCTTCTGATTCCAGAAAACTTCTACCTACTTCCTGCCCGTGGTTCTAGTCCAGGATTCAGCCTACTGAGCCTCTTGGTTTCAAGGGATTCAAAGCCTATGCCCTGGGAAGGGAGAGCTGGTCCTGGACCCCCAACCCGCAGTGTAAAGGGCTGGCATCTCTGTAAGGGTGCAGGTCTCCTGGGGCAGCAAGTGGCTCTTCTGGCCCTTGGTTTGTTCACCTGGGCAGGGCTGTGCTTGGCACATTGTAGAAGCCGTGTCCCTGGGGTGAGGCTGGACATGGGACTCCTCCCAGATGTTCTCCAAAGACCTTTAATGATGGGGGGTGGGGCACTCAGGGAGCAGAAACTTTGCTGCAAAAGTTTCCAAAATGGCCAGTGTAAAGCTGCAGGAGAGATGAGCCCTATACCCAGCCCTCCAGGACAGAAAAGGACTATCAGTGCCCTGTGCTATGTAGTCCTGAGGGCCCACTATCCTCTCCAGGTAGATGAGATGGGACACCTGGGAGAGGATCAGGGATGGAGAACAGGTATGGTGAGCTCCAGGCCACCTCTCTTCCTGGTCGAAGGAGCCATTAAGACCAGAGTAGAGATTTGCCCCAGGCCTGTGGCTGAGAGGTGTGTGTGTGTGGCTGTTGTAGAACTCTGAGAGAATGCTGCCCACCTATCTGAGACTGCTGGACTCTCTACAGTATGTGTGGCAGGGAAGGGGACACCATTAGCAGTCCCATGAACCCAACCTCAGCTGTGTGTCTTGGCATATAACTGTCATGAAGACCCTGGCATTTTAACTCTTCTCTCTGCACCCTGGACTCCTGACCTGGCACTTCTGGGCAGATGGACACAGAAAGCTAATTAGGAGAAATGTGTGTCAGGAACTTGTTGAGGACGCTCTGGTTCAGGCCCAGCTCCCACACCCGAGCTTCGGTTCTGACTATTTGGAGGCCCCGGGCATCTCTCTGGGGAGCCCTGGAGTGTGTCCTGCAGGCCTGAGCAATCTGCTTGACCGTCCCTATAAAGGCGCGGGGTGGCTGGAGCTGGGGTTTCTCCCCTGCCTGTGACTCCACTACTGTCCCTATGTCCACCTCGCGGCCTCCGGTGCCTCACCTTACGTCTCCCCTTCCAGACTTCCCTGCCCACCCCATTGTGCAGTGGGCCTTAAGTGTTAATGGTGACAATACAGCTTTGTGTGTCCTGTCATCAGGTAACAGCGGTACATTTGGACAGGTATCGTCTGTGAAAACAGTGGCCCTGGAAGACCCAGGTCCCTACTGTCCCCTCCTAGGCCCTCACACTCCACACCCCATGCCAACTGCTCTTGGCAAACCTGGAAGTGACCGTTCACTGTCTTGCTCCCTCCAGCAGCTCCAGCCAGGGGCAGAGGGGGCTTATTCCCACACTCAACAGGGCCCCTGGGCTCGGCCAGCTAGAGCAGGCTTCAGGGCTGCGGCCCAGGCCCACCATTCCCCCCAGCAGAAAGAGGCACCTGCATGTGGAAGTGGAGGCAGCCTGCGAGCAAGCTCAGGACCACAGTCCCAAGGGCTAAAGGCTCCGGGCTCATGTAGCCCCTACGTGGGTGACCCGGCTAGGCCAGCCCGCCCATCGGGGACCCTCCCACTCTGGGCAAGTTGGGGCTCTGAAAGGCCGAGTGGAGCTTGGTTAACAACTCGGGCTCCTCACCCTGGGCCCCGCTTTTCCCAGAGGCCTCCGGGGCGCCCAGCGGGTAGGCCTCCCTGGCCCGGCTGGCCCTGGAGCAGGTGAGGAAGGCCAGGCAGGCTCCGCGGAGGCGGGCCAGGTCCCTGTGGGTGGTCTCGCTGACGAAGCAGTACAGCACGGGGTCCGCCACGCAGTTGAAGCTGGTGAGGAGCAGGGAGAAGTGGTAGGCGTTGAAGATGCTCTTGGCGAACTCGCAGCCGGCCTCCCAGAGGCTGCGCACCAGCAGCAGCACGTGGTAGGGCAGGAAGCAGGCCAGGAAGATGACCACGGTGCTGAGCACCAGCCGCTGGATCTGGTCCTTGCGGCTCTTCTGGGTGCCGTGGCTCCGGCGCACGGCCCGCAGGATGCCCTGGTAGGAGGCCAAGAGCAGGCAGATGGGGAAGAGGAAGCCCACCAGGAAGCGGTAGTAGTTGATGCTGCGCTGCCAGGCCGCGATCGGGTAGTGCTCAAAGCAGACGCGGTGCCGGTCCTCGTCCTCGATCACCTCCTTGTGCATGAGGAAGTAGACGCTGGTCAGCAGCTCCTTGGCCCAGATGACCACGCTGACGCCCACGGCCGCCTTCAGCGTGCGAAACTGGTGGAAGCGGAAAGGGTGGGCCACGGCCAGGTAGCGGTCGATGGAGATGCAGCAGAGGAAGCCCACGCTGATGTAGATGTTCTCGTACAGGAGGATGCCGCACACCTGGCAGGACAGGTCCCCGTGCGACCAGTGGTCATGCTGCAGCACGTACTGCAGCCAGAAGGGGAGCGAGCAGATGTAGAAGAGGTCTGCCACCGTCAGGTTGCACAGGTACACGCCCAGCTCGTTCCGGGCCTTGATCTGCAGGTAGCCGAAGTAGAGGGACAGGCAGTTGGCCGGGAAGCCCACCACCAGCACCGTGATGTAGACCACCGGGGCCAGCGTCTGGTGGATGGTGTGGTCAATGGTGCAGCTCAGCGAGGAGTTATCCACAGTGATGTTTCTCATCTTTGGACCAGAAGGGGTCTCACCCCTCATGGGCTCAGGGACTACGCCAGTTTCCCCACTGCCATCTTGTTTAGAGAAGGTGGCTCAAGTTACATCAAGGGCTGGGCATCACTGGTGGCTGGTGAGGTCCTGCAAGTCAAAGGTCGGAAAAGGCTTAGAATAATAGTAGCTATTTATAGAGTGCCTACTGTGTGTCAGGCACTGTTATACATGCTGTACTGATTTCATTTAGAAGAGGAACCAGCTGCCAGGTGTGGCGGCACATGCCTAGCAACCTGGGAGGCTGAGGCAGGAGGATTGCAAGTTTGAGGCCAGCCTCAGCAACTTAGCAAGGCCCTAAGTAACTTAATGAGACCCTATCTCAAAACAAAAAGTAAAAAGGGCTAGGGATGTGGTTCAGTGGTTAAGTACCCCTGGGTTCAATCCCTGATAGCAAAAGATGAAGAAGAGGAGGAGGTAACCAGCCAATCAACTTCAATGCAACTAGAATATCTGAATGGGTTACATGGCATATGGCTCCCTGTCCCCTTTTCTGTCTTTCCTTATTCTCTGTCCCTTTCTTATTTTCCTGGTCCCTCAGTGCATCAAGTGAGATCAGGAGATCCTTGGAGCAGGAGCCCATCCTGACCCCAGCTCTCCAAAGATCAATCACAACTTATATGCAAAAGTGAGGGTCCTTGTCTACAGCAATAAACGTCACTCTGGGAGTGTATTAATTAGGTCCATTAAGACTGAGGTCACACCTGGGTGTGGTGGCACACACCTGTAATCCCAGTGGCTCGGGAAGCTAAGACAGGAGGATCATGAGTTCAAAGCCAGCCTCAGCAACTTAGCAAGGCACTAAGCAACTCAGTGAGACCCTGTCTCTAAATCAAATACAAAATAGGAATGAGGATGTGGCTCAGTAGTTGAGTGTCCCTGAGTTCAATTACTGGTACCATCCTCTCTCTAAAAAAAAAAAAAAAAAATTGAGGTCACAGACCCCAGGCCCTCTCCAGACAGCATCAGAAAAGGCTCAGCCTTGTCTACATACTAGTTTTCTCTGGTAAGAAACAGAAGCAGAGCTTCCCCAAGGTCACTGCCGGATTCCTGGGTGCTTCTCAGCAAAGAGTGCCAGGCCAGGCCAGCCACTGCCAGGTTGCGCCACATTTACCTTCTCTGAGCCTCAGTTTCCTCACCTGGAACATAGAGCTATGGACACCTGCCCTCAGGGGTCGGTGTCAGGACCATACCAAGTGATGGGAGGGAAATGTAGAGCACGACGGGGCTAGGACAGGAGTCAAAGGTGGTGACCCCTCTAGAACGAGTGGAAAACTGACATCGTGGAGAATTTCACAAAGAGGATGTTGGGTACACACACTCACACACACACAAAAAAAATGGAACAAGATAGAATAAAATGTTTTGTTGTAAGCCTACAATTAACATATCAAAGTGATAAAGGTCAGAATGACTCTATTGATTGAATACTACGCTCTCAGCTGAAAAAAATCTCATGGGGTCTCAATCAGCATTTTTCAACCTTTGTTCCCTATCACTCCTTGAAAGGGCCTTTGACATTTTATCGTCTAACCACCCTCCCCTGAAACCTCAATAGCAGATCCCCTGTGTTTCTCCTTATGTACTGTGTGCCTTTGCAGAGGGGTAAAGATTTTTTCGCTCCACCGTCAGCCGATAATTGATGTGGACCCCCAATGAGACGTTTCCACCTACAGGGCTGGAGATTCTCAACAGGTGGGGTCAGAACTAAGCAGCCCTCAGATATCAATCCTGCCCTCCTGCACTTCACAGTGAGGCTGAGACCCACGGGCCCTGGGGGAAAGCCCTCAGAGTCATGATCAAGCCTCAGGCCACTGGACTCCATCTCCCAGGTAGCTCTCTCCAGAGCCAAGCTCTCCTCCACTTGCCCCGCCCCCGCCTGCTGCCTCCCTCCACAGCCTCCTTCCTGCCAGCTCCTGCAGGGGGCGCTGCTGGGAAGGAAGGGGCTGGAGACCCATAGGACTTGGGAGTCTGTGGAGGAGGGAGGAGTTTCTCTGAAATCACACTCCACCTAGTAACTATCCAAGCACAGTAGCCCCCTTATGCGTGGTTTCCATATCCCTGGTTTCTCTTACCCACAGTTGGCTGTGGTTAAGAAGATGGGTGAGCCCAGCACGGCTAGATAGTGAGAGAGACCTGCATAACTTTGATTTCAGTAGAGCTATTACATTTCTATTTTGTTAGTAGTTATTGTTCTTCTCTTCCTGTGCCTAATCTATAAATTAAACTTTAAGGTACTTATGTATGTACGGGAAATACGTAGCGAATCCATGGCTCGGTACTATCTGTGACTTTAGGCATCCACCAGGGAGCGTACCCCTTGGATAAGGGGACACTAGTGTATATTCCTTGTTCCTGGATAAAGGGACAGTAGCTTTCATAAGTGTTCATAAAATGAGCAAGAGATGGGTCTGGTCCAAAGCTACACCTTCTGTTACCTGCACCCAATCCCTGCCTCTCCCTCCAGGGCCAAGCCCCCCTCCTCTTCCTCCCCAGCCCTCCACCCACATTGCCCCCACCATGAGCTCATTCCCTGAAGCTCACCCCCTCCCTCAGTGCTTCCCTTCCCCTCCAGCTCTGCGCCCACCTTGCCCACGCAGCTCCCCACTCATGGCAGCCACAGCGAGCCTTCTAAAACACAGGCCAGATCCCTGTGAGACAGCTCCTGTCACACCTGGAGGAAAACCCAACCCTCACCAGGTCTCCAAGGCCCACACCACCTGGCTCCAGTTCCCACCACCTGACCTACCGCCCACACGCTGCAGCCATGGCTGGCCACCTTTCTGTGCCTCAGCCACCTGCCGTGGTCACTGCACGTGCTGAGCCTCTTCCTGAGGTTCTCCCCACTCAACTCCCGCCACAGTGCCAGCACCTTTTCTGCCAGACCTGGGCTTCTGACCGCCCATCACCCTGTGGCTGCTCTGCGCAGCGCCTCTGACCATCTTGTTTATTTATCTGCCGGTCACTACTCCTTCTCTTCCACTAGAGGCCTCACCCACCTGCTTGCTGCTGTCTCCCCATCGCTTGAATTGTGTAGCTTCTTCTAGAACCAGTCAATGAAGGCCAGTTCCCACTTTCCAGGTGAGGAACCTGAGGTTCAAAAGAGGAAGTGACCTGCCCCAGCTAGCCTGAGGAAGGGAGTGTCACGTCAACGCCAGAACCCAGGACTCCATGCCCCACCTGAGCCCCTACCTGGACCCCCGGTTGGATTCACCTTCCTTCTCCTTTCCAGGACACAGCCTGGAACCCCTGTGATGGTGACGGAGAGGGTGCTTCCTGTGGGTTTAATTGTGGCAAAACACACTCAACATAAAACTTGCCATCCTGACCAGTTGAAGAGAACAGTTCTGTGGGATTCAGAGAGTTTGCACTGTCTACCACCCTCGTCGCCCTCCCTCCCTCCTCCCAGCGCTCTTCACCTTACAAAGCAAAACTCTGTACCCATTAAATACTAACTCCCCAGGCCGGTAGCCACCTTCCATTCTCCGACTCTGACCTGACTACCTAGGTCCCTGGAGCAAGAGGACTCAGGGTTTGTCCTCTGTGCCTGGCTTTTTCTCATTCAGTATGATGTCTTCAAGATTCACCACGTTGTAGCGTGTGCCAGGATTTCCTGCCTTTTTAGGGCTGAATAAAATGCTCACATATGCACACACCACCTGTTACTCATGTGTCCATTCATCAGGGGACATTCCGATTGTTTCCTCTGCCTTTGGCTATTCCGAACGCTGCTGCTCTGAACTTGGACATGCACAGATCTCTCCAAGTTCCCCACCTTGACTTCTTTAGGGCATATGCCCAGGGTTGGAATTGCTGGATCTTTGAGGGGTGCTGCGTTCAGTTATTTGAGGGGCCAACCTACTGTGTTCCATAGTGGCTGTACCTTTTTACACCCCTGCCCATCATGCACTTGGAGTTTTCTGTGTTTGTCTTTCACTTCTATATTCTGGTGCCGAGAGGAAGGGAGTGCAGGCAGGTACAACCCAATCATAAACACAGGTTCCCCAACTGCGATAAAATAGGGAAAACGAAGCCACCCTGAAAACATGTCCTGTCAGATCTTGGAAATTCCCGGGTAGTCACCAGGCCTGAAGTCTGCTGTTTGCTGGTGGTGAGTGTGTGGACGTGTGGGCTGGGCGGGGCAGGGTGATGGTTCTCAGCTTCCTCTTTTCTAGGCAGCAGTTAGTTAAATCTGGTAACCAAAGTCAGAAATATTCAAGTCTTCAGAGCCAAGAAGAAGCATTCACTACAGTGAGGTTAAAGCACTGCCTGCGTTCATTTTGGAGCAAAAAGACCAGCAGTTCTTGAACTTGGATTCCCCTCTTGATCCCCCAGAAGTTTGTTGAGACAGATTGTAGAGCCTCATCCTCCAGTTTCTGGACTCTGTGGATCTGAGGTTTTAGATTTCAAACAACCTCCTGGGTGAGGCAGATGCAGCTGGGCTGCTGAGCCATGGACCACACTTTGAGTAGCAAGGCACTAGAAGAGTCTAGAAGATTCACATGTCCTGTGTGTGTTCCCAATGCAGGGAAGCCGAGGTGCCAGAGCCCAGCAGAACCTGTGAGCAGGACTGGGACAGGGCCCTGGGCCTGATTTAGGCTCTCAAGGAACAGTGACTGAAACTGTCCAAGTGCCTATACTCTTATTTGCAAAGTCTTACTGTTTACAGAGCATTTCACTTCTGTCCTCTTGTCCCATCTTCACAACAGCTCTGTGGAAACTGAGGTCCAGAGAGAGAGAGCAGCTGGCCAGGTAGTCCAGTACTTTCATACTGGGACGAGAATTTGTGGAGCAGGTACAGTGTTCACGACAGCAGGCCAGACAGGAGGGACAAACAAGAAGGGGCTCCCAGCCTCAGGGCACCTCCAAGCTCGGAAGACAGGAATGCCACATGCCACACACACCAATTACTGCCACACACCTGGTGTCCAGTGGGTGCTGCGGGCATCTCCCCTGCCACACACTCTCTGTGGGATGGCATCTCCTCTGTAATCCCAACCCCATCGTGCCCGGACGAGCCCAGGCCTCCACCCAGGCTGAAGGCTGCACAGGCAGCTCCTGCCCTCACAAAACAGATATGTGGAGAGAAGGGTGGGCCTGGAAAATGAGCCCACGCTGGGTCCATCGCTTTCTCCACGTACCTGCCCTTGGAAGGGATGTCCCCACCTGCCCCATCGTTCAGGTAGGATAACTGGCCTTCAGCTTCCTCCTTCGTCCTCAGCTGCAGCATTAAGTTCATTACCAGATTCTGCCATTTCTGTCTCCTAAGTGTCGGCCACACTCATCTCCTCTTTACCAGCACCCTAGAGGGGCTTGCTCAAGACTCCTCCCAGAGTCACAGCAACAGCCTCCTATTGGGCTTCCTGTCTCCATTTCACCACCTCAAAGCTGTCCTCTAAGATACAAATCTAACCCAAGTCATACACTGCTTTGGGGGCTCTACAATCCTCCATTAACCCACTCAACCATCCACCCATCCGTCTGTCCATCCACCCATCCATGCACCCATGCACCCGTGCACCCATCTGCCCATGCACCTGCCTATCCATCCATCCACTCATCTATCCACATATTCATTCATATAACAAATACTCGTTGACCATCTATTATACAGAAGGCACTCCACTCCATACTAGAGCCAAGTTGCTTTTAGCCTTAGGAGGCAGGAGAGAAGAAAAAAGAAACATGCTCATAAGAAGAGCATGGATTTGATGGGAGTCCATTGGCCTTACCCAGTCAGGAAAGCCTGCTCTGAGCAACAGCAGTTAAGCTATGACCAAGAAAAGGAGGAAGGGCTGCCCAAGCAGAGGGGAGTTTCTGTCTGTGGAAAACGTGAGCAACACATCAAGTGTGAGAGGGAGAGAATGAGTACCTTTGGGGAACTGAGAGTAGCTTGGCATGCCAGGATCTAGGGATGGGGCAGGCACGGCCAGGGAGGAGACAAGGAGAAGTTGGAGCAACTGACAGCTAATTAGAGTGGGGAACAGTGGGGACAAATCTGAGAGCTCCTCAGTACCTGGTCCTTCAGGCTCTCAAAAATGATTTTGTTAGAAGGGCGGGTGGGTGGGTGCACTGATGGTGAGGAGTAGTGCACAGATGGATGAGTGGATGGGTGGATAGATAAATGGGTGGAAGGGTCAGTGAGTGGGTGGGTGCTAGGTGGATGCATGGATGGATAGACTGATGGATAGGGTGATGAGCCGGAGTAGATGGCTGGATGGACAAGTTAATGAGCGGACAGATGGATAGATGGGCAGGTGGATGAGAAGGGGATGGGTGAATGGGTAAGAAGATGGGCAGAAGATGGGTGAGTGGGTAGGTAGATGGGTGGGGATGGGTGAGTGGACAGGTTGGTGGGTGGGGAATGGGTGAATAGGTAGGTGGACAGGTGGGGGATGGATGAGTGGGTAGGTAGATGGTGGGGAATGGGTGAGTGGGTAGGTAGATGGGTAGTGAACAGGTTGATGGGTGGGGGATGGATGAGTGGGTAAGTAGATGGGTGGGGGATGGATGAGTGAACAGGTTGATGGGTGGGGGATGGGTGAGTGGACAGGTTGATGGGTGGGGGATGGGTGAGTGGTAGAGATTTGGGGGCCGGATCAGAGATGGCCTTAATTAAACAGGAAAGTGAGAAGGCAGAATCTCCGTGGCTCTCTGCTTGGGCTCCCTGAGCTGGACAGAGGGTCCTGCTTTTTCACTCAGTCTTCTCACATCCAGCTCTCCCCAAGGACAGGCACCCCAGATGGAAACTATGCCTTGCGGGGAGTGTCCCTTCCCTTCCTGGTCTTCTGAAGAACTCTGATCCACACTGGACGCAGAGAGTTCTCCAAGCGGAAAACAAAGGGGTGGGAAGCCAGGCCACGCCTGTCCAGAGCCCTGCGCTTGCCAGGTGTGTTTCTATACGTTCAACCATGCCACGCTCATCAGCCCCCACTTCACAGATGGAAAAACCGAGGCTCAGAGAGATGAACCAACCTGCTTAAGATTCCACAGCTGGGACGTGGCAGCAGGCTGGGTCTTGAACTTGGACTGGCCCACACTCTCCTTTAAACCTTGCTCTCTGACCGCTTAACAGGATGACCGCAGCAACCACCCTCCACCCCAAGGCTCAAACTCCAGGCCCCAGGAAGTCACCACAAGAACCAGCAGGTGAGGTCCTGGGCTAACCCCCTGAACCTGGAGGACGCTCCACCCAACCTCGGAGGAAAGAAAAACCTAGCCTCATCCCTGGTCTCCCACCAGGGAGGGGGTGGTGGAAAAGAATCAAAAAGGACAGTTTGCCATCCAGCTAAGAAACTGAGAAAAACTGCAGCAAGTGACTCACGCCTGGAGGCACATCCTTAGACAAACGCTAATCAGCATGGAGGTCTCGGAGGACTTCAAAGACCAAGAGAAACTAAGCCCCCAGAAGGAGGAAATGCCTCCTTGACAGGGGCTGGGGTCTCTTGCAGGGTCCAAGTCAGGGGTGGAGAAGCCTAGGTGCTCGGTTTGAGCAGCACCTACCTCCCCACCCCGTTCCCATGGTACACTCAGACCCACAGACAGCTACTCACGTTCGGGATGGCTCGAGGGGGTCCCCAGCCCTCAGAGCTGGGGAGTTTCCTGCTGGCCCAGCTTCCACTCCCTGGGGCTGGCCATTTCCTTTCCTAAAAGGGCTCAAAATCAGAAACTATGTCCCTCTAAGGGAGGTGCAGGAGTCAGTTGCCTTTTTCCTCAGTCCCATCTTTACCTGGCAGAGCCTCACTCCCACAAGACAATAGGGTCTCATTTCTGAAGTCCTTGGAATGGCCTGAAATTTCAGTCTTCTTAGGGCTCACAAAGTCCCCATGAGTCATATGAACCCATTTTCCAGAATCGGAGACCCACAGAGGCTAGACACAGAAGCGCCCCAAGCTCACACAGCAAGTCAGAGGGAATCTGAACCCAGAACCCAGGCGCCCATGCACTGGAGGGGCTGCCTTTAAGCTTTTTGGACCACAAACTATAGCAGGAAACATGCTGTGCACTTGACCCAGCACACTGGGACATGGACACACACACATACACCCAGAGAAGTGAACTTCCCCAAGCAACACTTACCCCACTACTGCCCATGCATTCTGATATTTTCTGTTCTGTTTCAATTTTTAAAATGCAGGTCATGAGCTACGAGATTGACTTCCTGATCCACCAATGGGCCGGTCCTGCAACTGCCCAGCCTCTGTTGGAGGCTCTGGCTCCCCGGGGAAGGCAGTGTGGTCTCTGCAGTCAGGAGAGGGGCAGGCAGCAAAGTCCAGCCTCGGCTACTCCTGGAATCCGAAGGGAGGGCGTCCTCTAGCGGGTGGGGAGTTGGGACGAGGCTGTTTGGATTCTGCCCGCCCTGCTGGGCTCCTGCCACGGCTCCGCAGAGCCGGGGTGACCCCTTCGCCGGGACAGGCTCTTTCTCCCGCGATTACGCGCAGACCCAACCTCCCAGCTCTGTCTAGAAAACCCCCCGGCTGGAGGCTGCCCATTCCGGAGCTGAGCAGGATCATGTGAACTCCAATCTGGAGTCAGGCTGGGCGGTTGCCGGGGAACCGCAGCCGGCAGAAGGATGAGGGCGGCAGAGCGGATCTCTCCACGCATCTCCATCCTCCTGCACTTTCCGTGAGCCGCGCAGCTGGAATGCTAAGACCCAAGTGGGGCAGGCGCCTCTGGGGAGTGGGTGGGCACAGGAGGACTGGGGTGCACTAATTCTAACCACTTCTGGGCACCCGCCGGATACCAGGAGAGAAGGGACATGGAGTCCTCACAGGAGCCATTCAGACCCACACCCGGGGACCTAGCACACATCACCATCACCGCTGCATTGTGGACACCAGCAAGGACAAAGGGGCAACGAGAAAGGAGGGAGGAAGCTGTTTTCACTGGGGCCCTTAAGCTGTTACCACCCCCTGCCCGCAGCTACCAACATCTGGGTCAGTGGGTCTCAGCTCTGACCACATGCCTTAGAAAATACCCCAGAGCCTATAAGAACCAGCTGGCCTTGGCCCCACCCCGGGCTAATTGAAGTGTGCAGGCACCAATGTTGTACAAAGCTCCCTGGATGGCTCTAGTGCCACCAGGGTGGGGAGCCGCTGCTGTGGGGGAGGCCGAGATGTGTCTGCAGGCCAATAGGGCAATGGGGTGAAGGCTTCGTGCAGAAATAAGGGAAGCTCAGTTTTCCAAACCATGGAGGGAAGCAGGCTCGGCGCCAGGGCTCCACCCCTCGGGGGCACTCACTACTCCTGGCTCCGCTCTGGCAGCACAGGCTGGTGCTAAGGCCCCTGCAGGTTACCCAGCCTTCGATTCACAGAGGGGCACAGGCGCTGGGCCAGGACCTGGCAGGCGAAGACGGCAGAGCCATGGTGGAAGATGCTGGCTTCTGGCACCTTGCCCTTTCGCCTCGACTCCCCCCCTCCAAGGTAGGCTCTTGGGAAGGGTCCTCGGGAGCCAGGAAACCCATGTGCATGGGGCCCCAGGGACATGAGTTCTCCCTGCTGCGTCAGGTGATCTGCTGACCTGTCTTCTCTAAAGTCAGGGGACTGCATCCGTAGGGGTCCCTCCCAGTAAAATGCTGCCACACAGCAGGCCTTTTTCAACTGTCCCTTATATCGATTGCCTCAAGTGACAACAAGGCTTGTGAGTAGTCTGCACTTGGACACAGACGCGATTCCTGAGTTATGGGGTGTGGTTGTCTTTCCCTGATGTCACATGAGAAGACTGGGGGATAGGAGGCCAGACTGATGGTGACTGCCTGGCTACCCCAGGTCACGCCCACCAAAGAGGACATCTCTGACTCTTTTCACAGGGTGGCCCAGCCTAACAGGACACACAGACGCAGGTCATCTACACCATCACCATCTACACCTGTAGGAACAGTACGGCACTGAGCCCCTCTTCCCCTCAACACCCCCAGGGACCAGCAAGTACCCCAGGCTGCCCAGGACCCCTCCCAGCAGAAGCACGGAGCCTCCCCTGAAGCAGGAGACCTCCCCGTCTCCAGGCCAAGGACCCCCACCTTCCCTCCCCACTGGGCCTCCAGGATGCAGCTGGAGGGGTGCGGCCGACTTCAGCTTTATTTGCATCAGCAAATGCCCACAATGCCCACGCCATATTCTTGGGTGCTAGGTTTTTGTTTTTAACCTAAAACAGGAAGGTAGGACTAGTAGTACTAGTGATATGATGCAGTGGTCACAGGGGTCATGGAGGCCCCTACCTCCACCCCGCCCCAAACTTCTCCAAAAATCCTACAACTAAGACAAATAGTGGGGACTGGAGTTGTGGCTCAGCCCTGCCTAGCACGTGTGAGGCACAGGGTTCAACTCTGAGCATTGCATATAAATAAATATAATAAAGGTCCATCAACAACTAAAAAAATTTTTAGAATTTTAAAAATAGTGGGCCTATCATGAAACTGCAGTTTCAAGAGAAACCATGTGCCCAACTTCCAAGCTTCTGCCCTTCAGCCCAAAGTGGCAGAATCTAAGATGTGGCCCCTGAGCAGAGGTGGGATTCAGTGAAGGGTGAGAAGCCTGAGTCTGGGCCCCACCTACCTACCCCTGTAGCTCCTGCCATCTCAGGAAGACAGAAGGGCCTGAACTGGTGTTAGAGAAGGGCCTAGAGCAACTCAGCGTGCCACTTGTTTTACCTTCTCCTTCATATTCTCCCTCCCCCACCCCAGTGATGACAGTCACGAGACACCATGGATTCCCACTGGGGTGGCAGCCCCCGAGGTTGGCCTGAGCCCTGGACGTCCCTGTGATGCTCCTGGGCCTGGCTCTGAAGGGCTGTGGGCTTTTCTCAGCTGTGCGGGGGCTGCTTTCAGGGCCACAGCAGGATCTGAGGCCACAAGGCCTTCAGACCCCTATTGGCTCCCCTTCTGGGCAGCCTGGGAGCCAGCTGAGAGAGGACCTGGGGGTCTGCTCCAAGCTGGTGGCACCATGCAAGGCCTCCAGCATGTGATAGCAACTCCATGGTCACATGGGATAGAGGTGAAGAGCAGGGGATCTGGCCCAGACCTCGAGGTAAAATGCCAAGGCTGTGACTTCCTGGCTCTGGGACCTTGAGAGTCACATGTCAGTGGGCTTCTGTGAGAGTCAAGGGATATGAGGTCCCCGTGGGGCCTACACTTAGTAGGTCCTCAAAGAGAGTTAGTGGGGATGTCCTGGTGCTGGTGCTGGTGGTGGTGATGGCATCCCTCGGGCCTGAAGTTCCTGCCCCACCATCTGGCTCCCCTGGATAGGGCACAGGATGGGCAGGCCCCTTGGTAGACCGCAGTTACCGAGTGCCAGGCCATCCCCATCAGCTGTGAGTTGCTCAGATCACTTACTGACTTGGGGTTAGTTGGGGTGGAGGCCTCAGAGGCGCTCTAGGGGTGTGGAGGAATATAAGCCGGGCCTTTAACCAGCCAGCTGCAGTTCAGCTGTAGGGGCCTTTGCTGACTTGTGTCCCCAGCAGCAGCCTAACACTGTGGCACATGCTCACACCCAGGAGCTGCTGCAAAGGTCACCTGGACATCTGGTGGTGCCGCACTGTTGCAGGTTTGAAAGGGGACAGGTCTGAACTAAGGATGGCTCTGCTGGAAGTCCCAAGGACCAAGAGGAGGAGGATCAGAGAACCTACCCAAGGCCCTCCTGGTGTTAGAGGGCCTAGAGCAACTCAGCGTGCCAGGGGCCACTACCACTTCCTGAGCATGTGCTGTGGCCAGGCACTGTGGTGAGCACCCTCTGAATACGCTCCGGTTTAATCTTCTTGTCAACCCTATGTGGCAGGACTGTCCCTGTTTTATAAATGAGGCAACTAGAGGCTACAAGCAAGTTGCCCAAGGTCATATAACTGGTAAGAACAGCTGAGATTTGAACCCAGGGGTGTTTGACTCCAAGGACAGGGCTCTAGACTGCATTTGTGTTTCATCAATACGATAGCAAATCCCTGCAAACTCAGTGGCCTAAAGAACACAAATGTCTTAAATTACCGTTCTGGAAGTCAAAAGTCTGACGTGGGTCTTACTGGGCTAAAATCAAAGCACCAACCAGGCTGTGTTCCTTCTCAGGAGCCCTGGGGAGGCTTCCATGTTGCTTGGCCGGGACATCCTGCTTCTGCAGAGCCGGGGCAGTGGGCTGAGTCCTCTCACACTGCACCGTGTCTGCTGCCCCACTCGGCACGTCTCCTCCTCTGACCCTCTTGCCACTGCTTTTACTCTTAAGGACCCTGTGATAATCTGGGTTCCACCCAGGAACATAGGGCCAGCTCCTTAGGTCATCTGATTAGCAACTTTACTTCCACCTGCTACTTTGGTGCCACTTTGCAGTATAAGGCAACCTGGTCACAGGTTCTGGGAGTAGGACCTGGACACCTTGGGTTGAAGGCTTTATGCTGCCTCCCAACACGCCATGTTAAAACCCCATGCAGCGGCGCT